GGAGTGTTGCCACATTTGACTTGCTCACAAGAACTTGCATTTTTGTGAAATGTTCTGATCGACTGTTAGAGACAAATGTGGAAGGGGCAGCCGGGAGAAGAAAGCTTATCTGCTAGGACAAAGAACCAACCTGAATTCACTCTGCAGGCCATTCGTTTGCAACCTCTGGTCTAGGGTGTTGGGACTGTGTGGCCACTGGGTTCTTGTTTGAGCTTTAAACCCGGGGCCCTTGCCTTGATCGACTCTATCTAGCACATGGCAGGCACAGGATATTTAAATATACATTGAATGGCTTAGCTGCACAAACATCTTCTTTCATGGTCAAATTTATCACTGTCATCCAATCCAAGGGTCGGCAAAATGTTTTGGCTTCCCTCTTAGGCTACTTCTGGCTAAAGGGCTGTTATTGGTATCCCCCAGCTGTTGAGTGTTACTATTCTTAGTACTTTGCTTTAAGGTTTGTTTCGAAATATTTTCAATGCATCCTCCTCGTGTCAGACATTGATCAGGAGACCCCGCAACTGCCTTTTCATCACTTTTCTGGCTTCAACTTTTTTTATAGTGTAATATTTGCAGTGTATAGAACTTGGCTTTACTGTCTCCAGGAAGGATGAGACTAATCCAGAACTTTCTTCCCGGCCAGAGCATCTTCTTTAAACCACCTGGAGCCATAAGGATGGTTGTAAAGGCAATTGATTCTAATACTTCATTCATTCAAACATAAGTCATTGAAAAGAAAAGCATTCACAGTGTCATCTGTGTGCCTGGTACATGGAACAAAGACAAAAAATGCAATCTGTGATATTATAGTGCAATACGTACTATAAAGAGAAGGAACCACAAAATTCATGGGAGAAACAATATGCCCAAGGGCTAAGAGTACTTGTTCTGGAGCCGAAGCAGTCTTCCCAGGTTGCACACAGGCTTCACCACTTATCAGGTGTTTGAGCAAGTTTCTTAGATTCTTTGTGGTTTGGTGTTTGGGGTGTTTTTTTTTTTTCATCTGTAAAATGGAGTAGTAAGAGAATTCACCTCTTAGGATTATAATGAATACTGGAGTGAATTAATACGTGCAAGATGTTTGGAAAGTATCTGGCATGAAGAAGGTGTTCAATAAATATCACAAATATCACCTATTAGTCCAATTTATGTTTGTGGATCATGGGTGGAAATAGCTAGGTGGGAAGAAATGAAGACACAGAATTTTTCCTCATTAATTATTGATTCAAGATTGTTTCCTATTCCTACCATTATATATCGGGCATCGACTACACTCTGGGCACTAGGTGAGTAACTCTAAGGCAATAAAAAACAGACAAACAACCCAACCAAATCACATTGTCAAGTCAAGGCTGACTCCTGACAACTCTACAGGACAGGGTAAACTGCCCCTGTGGGTGCCAAGACTGGATCTCCATACGGGAGTAGAAAGCCTCATTTTTCTCCGTGGAGCACCTGCTGCTTTCCAACTGCTGACCTTACACAGTGAACAGCTCCACCTGGATGGTGAAACCCACAGAGTCAGCATTCCAGGCAATGAGAACACAGGTGCAAAGTCATGAAGATGCTAAAGGTCACGGTTAGTTCTCTGAAGTGCAAATCATCCAATTGTTTGAAGAACAGGGCAGAGTTGAAGGTGGGCAAGAGATGAGAAGAATAAGTGGGTGGGCGTGTCAGATTACGTATATGCAGTCTTGTATATTGTTCTGTGGCCTTGGGAATTTCTCTTACAGACACCAGGGGCCAATGAAAGATTTAGGTGGGGGAATGGTGTCATCAGATTTGTGTTCTGGTGATAGTCTGAGCGAACTACAATTTCTTTACAAAGCCGAGACTGCTTCAAAATTTGTTACGAGAGAGGTGCAAATTAAAACTAATCAATTGAAAAAATTCTTTTAGGATTTTTTAAAAAGATCGTTTTATTGGGGACTCTTGCAATTCTTATTACAATCCATACATCAATTATATCAGGCATATTTGTAGATATGTTGCCATCATTCTTTTCTAGACAGTTACTCTCTATTGAGGCCCTGGTATCAGCTCCTCTTTTTTTCTCCTCCTTCCCTCCCTCCCACCCTTGTGACCCCTTGGTAGATTATACATTATTATTTTCATATCTCACACTAACCGCTGTCTCCCTTCCCCCATGGATTCTGTTATTCTTGCCCCTGGGAGTGTGTGGTTATGTGTCCATCATTGAGATTGGTTCCCCCTTCCTCCCTTCTCCCCCCACCCTTCTCCCCTACGCTTCTGGTATTGCTATTCCCATCCCTGTTCCTGGATTTTGTGTAAAACTAATCAATTTTAAATTAACAACACACCCTACCACCATGGAGCTGATTCCAACTCAGTGGCTCTATAGAGCCGAGAAGAACTGCTCTATGTAAGCCTTTATGGGAGCAGACAACCTTATCTTTCTCTTGAGGAAAAGAACTGGGTTTTGAATCTCTGACCTTGCAGTTAGCAGCACATCAATTATCCCATTGCGCCATCATGGGTCCTTTTAAAATGAACCCCAAGCCCACTGCCCAGGGGTAAATTCTGCTTCATGGTGACACTAAATAGGATTTCTAAGGGGAGTCTTTCTCTGGAAGAGAGGATGGTGGTTTTGAACCACTGACCTTGAGGGTTAGCAATCCAAGGCTTACCTGACAGCGGCACTTATACAAATGAAGAAGTGAAACTGAGTTGTCCATAGGTGCATAAAAATACGCTGACTTGAAGCACGAGGAATTTGTGTCAAAAGAGAAACACATGATAGTTGTGGATGCTCTTGGGAAAAGAACCACCTCTTGGATCTTCTGGATCTGTCTCTGAACCTTCTTTGGTTTCCTCAGCCATGGAACCAACAAGGACTATGCTGGGCACTGTTCTAGGCATGTGGGGTGCAGTAGTGAGAAAAAAGACAGAGTCCTCTTCCCTGGCAGCTTCCAGCCCCCTGTGATGCCTAATACAACATAAACATCATAATGACCTGAAACGTTGAGATAAGTGGGTCAGAATTTTTTTAATTAAGCATAGGGGAGATTCATAAAGAAATTGAGACTGCCAAGGTATAAGTGGATGATTTCAACAACTAATGAAAGGAACGGCTAGCCCTTTGCAGTATAAAATTCATGATACACTTAATGGTGAATGCAAAATTCTGTTGCATGTAGAAGTAAGCATACAGCCCCCCAACATACAAATACTCATATATAATTTTAAAAGCACTTGAAATGCATCTGTATATACAGACACATAACAAGATATATGTTAATCAAAGCCTAGTAAGCTTACTTTTAACAACGTGATGTGCACACTTCCTAAAATGGCCGGAACATTTTCTTTCCATGTTCTCTGTAATAAGCAATTCCAGGGTTTGGTGGGGACGATAGGGTGTGCGCAAGGTGTTTTGTGGCCAGCATTTCAGGTGCAGACCATAGACGGTCAGAATCTGACTTTTCTTCAAGTTGCCGGAAAACCGCCCAATCTGGCAGGAACGTCGGTTTATTTTGATTTTTTCCTCGACCACAAAAACAAATTCCCCTTCAACAACCTAGTATCATAGAGTGATGTCCTTCCTCACGAATCTCCTATGTATGCATTTCTGACTCCAAGGGAAGTATGCCACCTACCGAAATCATCCGCACCAGTCAGCCAGTCCTGCAAAGTGCAGCAACACTCACGTGAACCGATGATCAGCTTCAAATCCTCTTCCCTGATTATTCTTTGGATTTAAGAATAAAATCAGAACATCAACAAGCTACTATGTGGGCTTATTGGAAGTTAGGTTCTTGGGGCTCCGATCGCGGATAAACCCTTCGACATATTGTAGCCTTCTCAAGAGCTCAGCCAAATTTCCGACCTCTTTTGCCTGCATTTTTCTTAACCGGGCTTGCACGTTCTGAACGGCCCTGGCCTCCCAGCCCGCAGACAGCTGTGGGACCCGCCGGTGCCAAGGCGGCCAGGGCCGCGGGCGGCGGCTGCAGATGCCAGCGCGCGTTACCAGGCGGCTGGGGTCGCGTTTGGCGGTGCAGGAGAGGTCAGGCGATGCTGCGGGCGGGCTGCCCAATGTGTACCGCCATGGCACTGTGCGACGTGCCACTCCATCCGCAGGCCTCTTTGCGGGGGTGGGGGAGGGAGGCAGAAAAAAAAGGAGAGAAAGGAAAACCTCTGCAGTCCGCTGAGAGCGAGGCAGGAAGCCCTGCGAGTCCTCCGTTGGCGCGGAGGCAGGCGCGCTCGCGCGGCGGCGGCGGCGGCGGCGGCGC